ATCCATCCATCCATCCATCCATCCATCTATCTATCTATCTATCTACTAAAATAGTACTATTCCTACTTCTCGGTTTTTCACATATCGCGGGACTTCTGGATATGGATCCCCTCGATAAATGAGGGACTACTGTTCGTCTCTTTTTCTTTCAGCTGCTCCCTTCTTCATGGGTCGCCACAGCAAACTAACTTGCACGAAAACTTGGCAATTGTTTTTATGCCAGATGTCCTTCCTGACGCAACCACAGACCACCGAGCTACCACAGCCCTCTGTGTGGAGCAGAGAGCTGCTATCTAGGGCACCCGGGGAGCAGATGGTGGGGGTTAAGTGCCTTGCTCAAGGTGCTTAGAGTGAGGCAATGAGTTTGGAGGCAGGTGTGGGCGCCACATTCTGATGTTGTCGGTCCAGAGGATTGAAGCGGCGACCTTCTGATCACAGGCTCGCCTTCTCTAAACTCTGCACCACCACTCCCCTATGGAGCATTTATAAAGTAATTTAGTAATAAAATAAAATAAAATTAAAACTTTTTTTCTAAAGTATTTTTGATTTGATAAAAAGGGCACAAAAATATAAAATACTATTTAAACTTTTACAACTGACATTTTTCTGCTAAAATGTGACAATATAGTCAGGTGATCAATAAAAGTAGTCATCAATCCCTTTCAGATTAAAAAAAAAACAAAAAAACAATCAGTCTGGTCGTGTTTTAACTCAGTCATAATTCACTTTAAGATTTTACTTAGCCACACACGTGACACAGAACACAAAGTACCGGTAAATCAATTCTGGCATACTACTTATCATTTCACATCGCTCACACTATATTACACTAATGCTACAACAATAAATGTGACGTTTGCATGTGACGTTCTTAGTGGCTGTGAAAATCTTGCTTTTTTTACAGATTTAAATTTAGTCAGAGTTGTAGCTTTGAAGTTTCAACTGTAATTATATAAAAAATAAAGTTGCTATAATTTCTAGAGGCATATCTCTAGTCACCCAAGAAGCTGCAGCTCTACATAAAACTCTTCAAACCCTTCTGTATTTGCAGTTTTCTTGCAACTATGTGTCAATTCGCCTTCAAATTTCCAGGCGAGCTTACAAGCACATCTCATTGTAGTCCACACAAACACAGGAAAGGAAGTAGTTGATACAATAATCAAAGCAAAGCTGAAACACTTCTTAGCAGTTTATACCTCCTTGTTCGGCTCGGATGCTGTGACAGTTATGATTAGGTGTCGCA